GCCGTTTCTGGCCGTCGGAGAGGCACTGCTTTGTGCAGCGGTTGCTCCCCGTCCCTGATCCGGGCACGTCCGTCGGCAGCACGGTCTGCGCCACGAACACAAACCGGTGGCTGTGGTTTAGGGCGCCTCGGGGTGGGAGTTACCGCAGCGTAGCAGCTGGTCTGTAGCGCCGCAACCCGGCCCTGCTCCCTCCGAGTGCAGACGGAAATTTCCGCTGGGTTGAACAATCCAAACAACAGAAATCCAACAAAGCTTAACCCAGTTGTTTCAGTCCTGGGTCAGCCTTCTGGTACTGACTTCAGAGACTAAAAATTATCAAGTAAGCAATACAAAATTAAAATCCTGTCTGCTGTGCTAATAACAAAACATATAAACGTGGGGCAACGTGTAATGAATGCAATTCATTTCCTCACGTGGAAGAATGACCTCCATAACTCACTGGAGACTGCCACTCCTGAGTTATGGGTCATTCCTTTTCTGGAGAAAATAAATTTTACTGCCCTGTCGTCTATAACCATGTATTTTTTTTCTCCCTGTGTAAATTCAAAAAATGGGGAAGTGTAATCCTCTGTTTTCTTGCATTATGTACAAAGCAGATATCCCCTTGCCATAACATTGTTTTAAATTAAATGGTTTTTATTAAGTGCAATATGTTATATTTCTCTCATATATTTGATGACTTTTGATTAAATAAAATGTTGCATTTATTTTTGAGATATTGCTACTGTTAATAAATTCTGTAATCGGCTTTCCTGCATTTGCAATACAGGTTAAATCCTTGAGTTTAATCAAAGCTAGTGTTATGCTAAAGAATATTTATGACAGCATCAATTTTATATTTCAAAACTTCTATTTTATAAGTTGTTTTAACTTAGCCATAAACATTTTCTCTAGATTGAAACTTGACACATGGCATGTTGTCAGTTACAAACCTATTTTTAATCCCTTTTTAAAAACAGGCCTTGATTATTTGTTATATAAGAGCAATGTTTAAAAAAAAAAAAAGAGAGAAAACACTATTTTTTAGAGAATTTCCTGTGCCTGGGTAGCTGTTACTGAAACAAGCAATACCACTAGAAATGAGGAGTATCTCTTTCATAATATTCAAATTCCTTTGTACACCGCTGGATTCTACACAAAAGGAATCTTTTTTCCTCATATCCGATCATTTTTTTCTGATATGTAAACTTTGAGCACAATTATAAATCTTTTGTAGCAAGTCCTGTGCTTCCTCAATTCCCACTAGAATGCATTCCTGAGCATCTGGGGGAGCTTGGCTCCGTGAACTGCCTAAATATTAACTATTTGGATTTGAATTTGCACTACTTTCAGGAGAAACTGGTCTTCAGGGCAAATAAGAGTCGTTACAGGGTATTGCAGCAATTGACTGGCATTTCTGAGTGGGCTCTAAGTTCCTACCAAGTGAGGATGTCAGTTCCCACTGATACTTACTGTCTTTGTATCACTTCACCCTCTTCTTGCCAGCGGGTGAAGTTATGCCCCACTGATAACCAATGGAATTCAGGATTTCTCACACACTGTTAGTGTTCAGCTTCAGTTTGCTCCTCCAATAGAAGTGTGTTTTATATTCCTTTTGTATAACTTCCTTTCACACTAACTAGATCGTGTGGCTAACTGAGGAGTGTCATTGGAGACTGGCACTGTGGAAAGACAGGTGTTAGGATTTTCCAGCTCAGCCAGTCGTTTTTGCAGGCTGTATGCCCTTATGCTTCTGGAGAGTTGAAGAACCAGGTTGTTTCTGCTATGGGTAGGTTGCACAGCACTAGGGAGGTGGTGTCCCACACCACATTGGGCACCTCCTCCAGACAGGATCTGTTCAGGATGCTTGAGAGGATCTGTTCAGGATGCTCGAGGTTAGCAATAACAGCAGCGTTTCTTTGCTGGCGTGAGGTAGTTCAGGCGGCACAACTGCTGTGGCAAGTAGCCACAGCGAGAAGTATAGTAACACAAAAGTGTTCTAGGATCAGCTCCCGCATTCACACGGGCACATCTGGTCTGAGCTGCTCATGGGAACTTCAGTACATCAGTTTTCAGAATTCTCTCCCAAATTCAAGTGGGTACCTGCAGCACAAATATGCCATTTGAGACATTTCCTCTTTAGATCTTGCTGCTTTGTTTCACGTGTCCCAGATAGCAGATCTCTTAATAGTTTGTAACAGTTCCGTAGAGTGTACTTTAGCTGGCTTCTTTTATAGGTCTTTCCACGTAACATCTCTGGCTGTGACAGTAGGGATTGACTAAGATGGTCACCTCAGGATAGCAGAAATCCATCTACGTACTTCTTTGAACAGTAATTGCAAAATGGAATCAATTTTGGTGTGTATTTCTTTTATATGAAATTCCCATTCCTGTCTTAGCGTGTAGTTACTGGTGTTTGTTTTCAGCTCTTTTTGCCTTTAGTGCCTTCTGGGTAGTAGAGAAATGGCATGCTGGAAGTGCAACAGAGAGATAATAACAGATCACTCCAAGGACGTTATCTATTCTGCTAACATCTAACATGCAGCAAGGCATAGAATATGACAATAAAGCATTTATCTTCTCTGTACTGAAACGTTCATGGTATCAAAACAAAGTTGACTGTTGCTTGATGGACTAACATTACTTATCCCTTTTGCTACTGATAGTTACAGCTGCTATTTTTTTTCTGCTCCCAGACCGCAGGATTTCAGGAGATTCTGACTGAAATTGAAATTTTAGCTTTGATTGTGGGATGCTTATGTCATGACCTTGACCACAGGGGAACCAACAATGCCTTCCAAGCCAAGTAAGTTTTCTAATTCTTAATACTTTAATTTGTTTTTCTTCCGCAGAAGAGCAAAGGTGACCAGGATAAAGAATGAAGCATTAATTTCAGGCCTCCTGGGCCAAGGCCGTGTATTCTTATTCTTGTATGTAGTGAGGGACTATCCATCTCTATCATTTGCTGTTCTTTCGAGTAATTGCTGGCTTGTCCTTTGTATCAGGCCGTTGATTGGGTTACCCCTTGTGAACTGACACCGCATATTGAAATGTGGTGCCAAAACCTGACCTTCTTTTCATGCTGAGGCATTATTGATTCTGGTATTCAACCCAGGAAACACTGAAACTGCCTATCTGGGTGGCTCTTGCTGGCTGGAATGCATGATGTTAAGCAAAACCTTGTTAAGAAGAAAACAGGTAAAACTGAAATCATGCTTTCACAAAAACTTTCACAATCGTATAGGCAAGTACATGTAGTAATTCCTAGCTTAGGGAGCATGAAGCCATCGCCATCATGGTGGAGCTCGGCTGCATCTTGTCCGCAGTGGGTGGCTGGAGAAGCTGCCTCAGCACATACCCGTCAGTTGTGGAGCACACAGGGTCCCTGGTCTGTAGAGATGCCTCCTCTCTGGCCAGATCTTTATCTGCAGACTGTTTTCAATTCTAAAAATTAATCTTACTCAGTTTGAAGTGCTTAGGACCTGATTCAGCTGCCCTGACTTGCATTGTTGCTGTCCAGGCTGCTGCCTTCTGATACAGTGAGGTAGAAGCAGGTTTGTGGGAGGTTTGAGGGTACTACGGTGGTAAGGGAACTCCCTTGACCAAGCTCAGATTCTTCCCAAACATCTATGTTCCCTGAGAACAGAGGGGGGGACAACAGGAAATGTCCCCTGACAACATCTAGGCCAAACTGTGAAATAAAGCTGTCAGACACAGACTCCTCCAAATCCCACGTTTTTTTCTCAAGCCCCCCAGTTCCTCTAGTCAGAATATGAGCCCCTGAGGCTCTCCTGCACTGCAGATCCCAGCGTGCACTTAGAGCTTTGCCTGTTCTGCACTGCTGTCAATCTGCCAGCATGACAGGGTCACGTGGTTGTCCGAAGATGTTTGAAAGATGGGGTGAAGTTGTATAGGACTGTCCTGCCCTACCTTTTGCAGAAAGACTGTGCTGTGATGTGGGTATGCACGGCTGCTGCTGTCCTGGGGGAGAGTTGGCTCAGCGAACATCACTCAAACTGATGTTTCTGATATTCACTAAGCTGCCGTTTCCTGAGCTATTGCTGCTGCTGTACAGTCTCAATGAAACAATGACACTGTCTGGCTCTTCAATCACAATAGCAAGGAAAATCAATTGCCGTGCTCAGATGGCAGAGCTCGTGGTGCAAAGGTTACCAAGCACTGCTAGATGCTTTTTTGCAGCTGAGTCTTGAAGACAATCAAAAAAGAAGAGACAAATGGGAAGGAAGCTCAGCTGATTGATGTTTATGTTCCTAATTTACAGAAACGAGACCTAAGATTTACATCCTGACCATTTTAGGCTCTGATTAAGTTAACCACTTCTCCACTGTAATGTTACACAGCAATATCTTGTGTGCAGAGGGATGGCAGAGTTAAAGGTAGAGGCTTCAGCATTAGACTGCTATCACTTACACTCGTCGTTTGACAACGGAGTACAAAGAGGGGGCTGCCATTTTACGACTCCATAAAGAAATTGCTGAAGACATCTAACAAAAGACAAACATTACCACACGTGTGTAAAACATCCCTGAAAACAAGCTGTGGTTTTCATAAAGGCAGCTATGATTTATTCCTCTCACCTGACATAAATTTGAGCATCACATTTTCCTATTTTATCCTCAGTGTTCAATGCTGCTGTTCTGTGTGATGAAAGTTCAAGAGGTACGTGATGGAGGCAATATCACAGTTGTCTGAAACGGCTGCGTTATATATCTCAACACCACGTTCTCCAGGGATGGTGTTTCCTGGACATCCTTCTCCCTAGCATAGCTGCTTCTGATAATTAAGTATCGGTGTGGTGCAGCTTTATAGTGTCTGCTCCTAGGAGACTCTTTCTGTTTGTCTCTAGCATAATCCCTTATTTCTTTGGAAAGAAAAGCCATCTTGTCACTTTAGGCTGGGCCCCAGAAGTGAACTAATGGTGACCAGTAACTATTCTGACAGTCCAGTCCTGTTCTTTGCTCCTCCCAACAATAACACAATTTTATGATTGTACTCTGTAGATTTTTGTTCTTTAAACTTAGAAAACCCACCTCTGTGCATTTTGGAGATAATTTTGTTGTAGGCAATAAACATGATGAGAAAATACATTCTAACGAGATGCTAAACTTTACTTTTATATTCACTGCTCTCACTTGTGTTTCTTTAGTTACCTCAGTACTTTTTCAGTGCATGATTTTACATAAACACAGAACCTCACTGCTTTTGCAGCTGGTTTTTCATTGTTGTGTTTTGGTTTGGTTTGGGGTTTTTTTTTTTTTAAGAGTCTGTAATCACCCATTGTAAGCCACTGTGGTTACATCTGTTAAGAATTAAAAATAAAAGGTAGCAGCAGGGCAGCCGGCTGTAGCTCGAAGACGTTTGTCTTGGCGTCGGCGATGCGCCTGTGCTGTTGCGTCGCTGAGGTGCTTTGAAACTCGCGGTACAAAATTTCATGTAGTTCCTGGAAAATCGTTAGTCAGCTGATGATCTTTATGTCTGGAACATAAATGCTTTTTATCTGGCTTTAAATTAGTATTTTGATCTTGTCAGTGTTCTTAAGTGTGGTTGCTGAAATGGAGGAGGGCGTGGCTACGTGCTTTCCTTACTAAATTGTCTCTGAAACCTGCTTCGTAAGCAGACGAGCAGTTTTTGTTGACTCCCTGCGTTCTGTTTCAGGAGCGGATCAGCCTTAGCTCAGCTCTATGGCACCTCTGCTACCCTGGAGCACCACCACTTCAATCACGCTGTCATGATTCTCCAAAGTGAGGTACAAAAGCATTACTATTAATCTCACTCTAAGCTGTTGGGCAGTTTCAGCCCGAGAAAGGAAATACCACACGCAGTACCTTTTTAATGCCCTCTCCTGGAGGAATTGTTTATTGGTTACCACAAAGGTCACAACTAGCACAAAATTAAACAACTGCAAATGCTGATCATAGAGCCCAGAGATTATATTTGTCTCAATCAGTGAGGGGCAAGGAGAACATACCCTAATCACAGTGTCAGCTTTTCTCAGTCGTCTTACATAGATCCTGCTCAGTGGTTTGTATGTAGGGGAGACAAGCTCTTGAGAGTATCACAGTCAACCCTTACTGGGCCAGCTTAATTGCTTTGATAGTCTTTCTGTAATCAGTATTTTTATTATGGTTTTACATAATTTTACTAAATGACTTTTTAAAAAAATTAACATCAGTAGTATCGTGCTGTCCAAAGTACACGAGTTGCTTTGCAGATACATACAAAGACATAGTTCTTGCCTAGAATATCTGATGTGGAACAGGATGCAGCATGTGCTGCCCCAGAGACGTAGTGAGAAAAGCAGGATGGACAGGCAATTCCCTACAAAGCAATTGCTGTATTTTCTTAATTCACACAGATTAGTTGTTACACAATGCTTTCAGTATATAAAAAAAGCAAAATGCTGTTCACTGGCGACCATGTGCTGATCTGCAGTAACTTCTGAAGAGCATCTGGGAATGTCCCATGATCACAGCCAGATGGGAGCAGGGTGGTGGCTTCACCTCTGAGCACAGTGACGCAGAGGGTGAGGCATGGGACTGTGGCTGCAGTGTTCCGTTTCCCAACGTTGTATTTAAAAATCAGACGTAGGAAAGGAGAGCCCCAGCATGGGATTTACGCAGCTCGGTCTGCTTAGCCTAGGCTAGCTTGTCAAAAAGGCGATGCGAGGAATTAAGTGGCTCCTTACACTACCAGGGAAAGGCAAAAGAAAAAGCAGCATTTGAAGGTCAGAGAGGTTCAGAACAGGAAAAAAGGAAAGGTGTTGCCATAGGATTTTGTTGCTGGGTTTTTGCCCTAAACCATGAGGCTGTTCAGCCCCTGGAACAAGATTTCGTGGGAAACTCATTTTTCTCTAGTTCCTGAAATCTTCACCCTGACTGAATGGCTCTCGAAAGACAGGCTCAAGACATGGACAGCTCTGTGAAAGTTTATAGCCCACATCCATCTAGATGCTTTTCTTTATCTTTTCCAGCTTAAAAATGGAGAAATTTACGAAGAAAATACTTTTTTCCTTGGAATCTACTTCAGCTACTTTGAGAGATGTAAAATATGATTTGAAATGCATGTCCTCCCCTTAGATTATTCAGACAGCTGTTTCTCCAGGTCCTCCTCTCTAGATCAGAACATTAATCCTATGAGATTTTTATCCAATAGATGCTATTTGCTAATGGAACACAACACCCCTTAGTTCAGAATAAATGCAGATTTGGATCCTCCGATCTACTTACACAAACTTTGAGCAGTTGGTCTCCTCTCCCAAATAATCTGAAATGAGATTACATCCTATCCACTAATGTTGATATTCGAGTCTGTCTTTGCTTTCTAGAAGGAAATGTAGTGTATTGTATTATTTCTTTAGATTTTTACCACATTGGACAAAGGAGCTATTTATCCTTTACTCTTGACATGCTAACCACAGTGTAAGTGATCTTGACTTCTGTAGTGACGGGGTTTTTTATACACCATGAAAGAGGTCAGTAAGGCAACAGATATTACAGAATCTCGGACAACTTGGTAAATTACCCCCCTTCTAGGAGCTGCAGTTTTCCTGATACTTTTTGCATTATTTTCTTCCGAGTACTTTGGTTTTAAAGTTTGTTTTTCATAAATAAGCTTTAGATTCTCAAATCCTTCCCAATACATAGATGAAAAGAAATAATTATTTCATTGTCACAGAGAAGACTATTTTTTATGCATGGCAAATTATTATTTTAGTCCAACAATTAGCTAATCTTTTAAAAAATACCATCTCTACCTCAAGACCTTATCCCGTCTCTGTCCTCAGACCATCATGGTTATAGCAATCCTGTTACTGGAAAATTCTTGCTTTTAAGGGCATTTTAATCTTCCTAAGCAGCAGACAGCATTGCATACTGAATGTGTGCACCAAAACAAGACTCTGTTTAGCAAGAACCACATTCTTTCTACAGCAGGTTAGAAAAAATAAAAGTGTAGTAATTTTATTCATATTAATTTAGTTATATGTGACTAATGTCACTTTTTAGCTTACATTTAGAATTTGCTTGTTTAAGAATTCATAAAGAAATTCTAGGATTTCTGTCCCTCTTACTTTTCAGAAATTCAGTTACAGAAGGACCTTCCTGCTCCCAAACAGCAATATTAAATAATCTGTTTCCTTTCATTCTGGCCATGGAGCACCTTTCCAATTCTTGATCCATGATCTCTTAAAAAGTAGCCTGTTGGGCCCACAAGAGGGGTTTATCCCGGTGAAGCTGTGGTTCTTTAGCCTGCACAGGCGATGCTTGTACACACGGTGAGCACCGTCGTACTGGGCAGAGCGCGCAAATGGGCCGTTTTGAAGGAAAAACTGATTTAGTGCCTTTGAGTGCTCTAACAGCAGTTTGTGTGCCTGCAAGCAGCAGCACAGATAAATCTATTAGGAGCACAACTCAAAAGCTGCAATGCACAGCTCCCCAAAACATTTAGTAAGAGGAAAGATTGAGATGTATCCATAGTTTTTCCCCATAAACTGAGTCCGTGCAGGGTCAGAGCAAAGAGTAAATCTCTCCTCAAGAGGCTATAATTTCAGGAGAGTTTAGAAAAACATCCCAGGTGCTTGATTACAATTGTCAACTCTTCCACCCCAAGGTAATCTCAGCAGGATTAACGTTATTATTTTTTCGTAGTTTAGCCATGAATCAGAAGAGGCCTCCGTTACAGGGAAACAGCAGGCTAAAGAGTTAGCAAACCTTTTAAAAACCTGTATTGATTGCCAGCCCTTTACCTCTTTTATCTCTTTCATTATAGGGTCACAACATCTTTGCTAACTTGTCCTCTAAGGACTACAGTGACCTTATGCAGCTTCTAAAGCAATCAATATTGGCAACAGACCTCACTCTGTATTTTGAGTAAGTATTGGCATTTCTTGTATTTGACAAATGAAGATTCGAAGAACTTACTCTAATGACCTATTAAATACCAATGAGGATATGTAATATGAGAAATTAGTGTTTAGCTGTGGTTGAAGAGATTTGTTCTAATTCTTAGTATATCTTGGGCTAATAGAAATATCTCGTGTCCAAGTAAGTGTTGCTTTTATGTGTAACGTGTCCATATCAACAAAAAGCAAGTGAAATCCTAGGGTTATACTTTAAAGCAATCCCAGGAATCAGTTACAGCTCGGTCCTGTAATTCTTCTGTCCATTCTGTGCTCATTTCTTCAGGCATGTAGAAAATCAACAACATTTTGGAATTCTTTTCCGCCATTCCAGAGTTTCTAAACATGTGTGCTAAGAAATATTATATTTAGTTACAGACCCAGTTGCAGGGCTAATGGAAGCCTACACACTGCTGCTTTGATGACAAATGATGCCAATTTGCGTCACGTCAGGTCTTAAAAAGCTTAGCTCGAGAGAAGTGTAATAGGATCTCTTTCATCCAGTTTTCTTCCTTTTCCTTGTTTGCAAATCAAATCTCTACTAAGACTTCAAGTGGATGCTATTTTATGTTTTTTACAAAGACAGTTAATTATTCCCAAGCTCTTCCCAGTTAGAATATGCGGGAGCATGCGTGTAGGAGGAGGAGTCATAGTGTCACCGTCATACTGCACTTTTGACATCCCCCTCTCTGGCCCTGCCTGTGGCTGACCTACAGGGAGAAGTGCTGTCAGACGTGCAGTTCCAGTGTACTGCCTTCCTAGTCTTGGTAATAACTCATCCTGAGGAAGTTCGGTTTGGTGTCCATTAGCAACCTATCCCAAACAGTGCTGAGTAGCATTTACTAATATTTTTCTCAGCTTTTAGGGGGATATACCTGGATTCCCCACTTCTTTGTGCCAATGGTTGATACCAAACCAAGTTTCCAGAAAACTTCAGGCAAAGTCTTTACCCTGAAATTGTTCAGCTGTCTATAGCAACGTTGTATCTATAGCTGTTAATTGTATAAATGCTAACTGGGATGCTGCAATGTTTGCTTTGGGGTTTTTTCTCAGTATTTGGTTACTGTGCCAAAAGGACAGTTTCTAAACAGTACTGGCAGTAGACACACTGATATTCTTGGTTTCCTGCAGGTCTGTTCTCAGAGAAGTTGTATTAGGAAAGGGTTTTAAAGAATAGCTGTATTATAAATAACTTCTAAACACTAGTCCATGATGAAATTTCTGCTTGCCAACATGAAAATCCTGAGCAGGACAAATGAACCCTTTTAAGCATACTCTTCTTGAAGTCGTCTGTCATGATTACTTGTTATCTGGGAGGCTGCTATGACGGGAATCTGCTGACAGCTTTGAGATACAAGGACCACAGGGATGTGTCTGTACGTGTTTTCCTGTTTCACCACGAATAACAAGTGCTGCAGGTATGTTTTGTGCTGCCAAGGAGGAGAGGAGTGGCTGGGGCTGAGAGGGCAGCTGCCCTGGCACAGCCCCAAGTGCTCCCCCAGGCCGGGACCCTGCAGCCCCTGGCAGAGCCAAAAAGGACCCGCGGCAGAACCTTGGGAGGGAAGCCACTCCAGGCCCAGACATGATAAAGCTCTCTTCCCTGCCTGCCTTGGGGTAAAAAACTATGTGGTCAAGTGGTCTTTCTAGTTTTAATACAGAGAAATAATGTCCAAAAAGGGACATCAGCTGAGTTTCAGGATTATTATTCCTTGCTTGCATAATTGATTTTTATGTGCTATATGAATCTGAAAACTTTTAGCAAATGAGGCCTTTTTACTCAGAAGGCTGCAAATAAGTTCTTTTCCTCTTGCTTTTTTACGATTCATTAATTGGGTGGTTGTTATGCTGCTTTACTTACAAGAGTGCCTGAAAATCGCTCCCTGGAAATGTTGGTGATTTACACTTCTTAAAGCCACCCTATGTTAACAGATGTCTCCACACTGCTACCTAACTTGTTTTTTCAGTTTGCTACGTCTTCAGTATTTCTATAGAGAAGGAAATTCTCATATTGGTATTCTTAGAATGCCTAAGCCGAATGATCACAAACTCCACCTAGCAAAGCTGCAACAAAACCCTCGGCAGAGTTTTATGGCCTTGTCAAGGAACTGCTTTTCTACAAAGAAACAAAACGATGACTTTCAGTGAAAGCTCAGATGGAAAATGTACTTGATTTTAGTAGATAAGTCTAGGTAGTGATGCTTGTAGATAATATAATAAGCAAAAGCACAGAACCAGAATGAAGTTTACGGAAATCCACTCAAATGATGTCTTGAGCCACCAGGATGTAGAGCAACTGGATTTGCTATAGACAGCAAGACAACTGTCCCTTCCAGGCAAAATACAACCAGAGACAGCGTTACTCAAAGGCATTGCAAAAGCGTTACCATTCTGTTTATTTCTGAAATCCTGGCGTATTGTGTTTCCTTAATAACAGCAAAGCTCTTTGTGTTGGATGCCACGCGTAAGCAACTGGTAGGAAACAGCTTAACATGAGGCCTTGAGACTCCCATTTTCAGTTACTGTTTATGGATCTCTACATTTTAAAGCTGAATGTTTGAGGTTTCTGGGATGCCAGTCTTCAGCTTTAAGCCTTCTTGCCTGGTTTTTGTCCAGTAACATATGAATTGCCCAGCATATCCAATACTTCAAAATGAAGCCATTAGCAGATGTTAAGTTGTTAAACTGGGCACTGGAATACAGGATGCAAAAATGCACTGCTCACTCCTACAGGAGTATGTAGGTGTTGATGATCTGCTCCGCTTTAGGCTGGTTTAAGGTTTATGTGCCAACTGCTCATGGCCATGAAATGTTCATCATTGCAATATTTATTTCCACTGGGGCCATGATGCTATGACTAGTTGCTGTCATGAAACCCATTATAGAAAGTTGCTACAGCAGGAGTGACTGGTCATATTGCGGATGACAGTCAGGGGCCAGAACAATGCAACATGCCCCACGTAAAATTCTGCCTGTTAACCGAAGGCAGCGTTCCTGGAACTGTGTATCTCCTTGTGCGTGAAACCTGTACTGGCTGCTGTTAGACGCTGCTTGCAGTAATCCCTGCTCAAAATTTCAGTTTAGCTGAAGTAAATATATTTCTTTCCCACTGGGGAGTCTAACTACATTCCCACCTGACAGAGTTCTGTCCCCTTTGAGATGGGGCACTGCACTGTCACTCAGAGCATAGGTATTTGCTTTCTAGCTTTAAAGCTAATACATTGTGTCACTCTGGGCAAGTTCACCGTATTTTTGTATCTCAACTTCCGCTTTATCTGGGGCAGGATCTGTTTCGTATTGCAGTCACACTGCGTGCGATAGAGTTGCTTGGAGTCTCGGTGCCATAAAAGATTACAGACTACGATGAGTCAGAATTTTGGTGCTTATAGGCACCAAACAAACATTAACAAGTTCTGGCTCCTGGTTTGTCCATCTTTGAGGATAGAGGCAAGATATTCCAGAATACAAAGCATGGGACCAAGCAGGGCGACCTCGTTTCTAGTCCGTAAGAGCCTACTCACTCAAGACTTGTGCAGCCCATGTGTCTCGCTATTCTGTTCTGCGTACTGGAAATAATGGTCATTGCACATCTCTGTAAAACCCCTCAGGATCCAGAAGGAAAATCCATTTTGCAAGGACAAGTAGAGAGAAGTGTGTCTATATTTCAGGGGTGTTCCTATTGTCTGTCTGTCCGCTGCTGTACTTGAACATTTCATGCTTCCACGGAAGACTGAACATTTTGGTACCATTTATTTCCTTATCTGCAGAGAACATAAATACAATCGTGCTTTTACTAGGCAACTCTGACACTGATAACAGACATTTATAGAACACGTTCGGAAATTAGTATGTTTCGCTTAAATGGCCTGTCAGTGTAACGACTTTAACAATAATACATGAGGCGTAGTGATTTCGTATCATCCCGAGAACTGTGTTTCTGCTGCAGTGCTGCCCTGGAAGTGTCTTGTTTCCTTCTCTGATAATCTGTTTTGTTACAGGAGAAGGACGGAGTTCTTTGAACTTGTCAGCAAAGGTGGTTACGACTGGAATGTAAAAAACCACCGAGAAATATTTCGGTGAGCACTACTGTTTCTTGCTTTCTGGTTATTTCAAAGTGTAGCCATATTTGTTTAAGGAATTTCATGTATCATGAAGACTTAAAGTAACAAGAGAAGGTAGCTCATGTTAAAAATATGATCCGTGATGTGAAATATATGGTATGATTTCTAAACATTACCGAGCAGTACAGCTGTAACCAGGGTGACCTCACCTTCTCCATTCCTATTTCTGCCTTCACACTCTGTCATATTTTCTTCCCTTTCTCCCAGTCTCACCAGTGACTGCTCAGCCCTTCTGCTCTTTCTCCAGAAAGCATCAATATTCTGCCTCAGGACACAAAGGTCTTTCTTGTCCATCTCCCCGTTTCCTCCTCCTCTCAGCCGTTTTCTTTCACTGGCCGTGCTGCGCTCTGCTCTGCCAGTCGGAACTGGGAATCTGCGGGGGGACAGTACTCTTGTAGCCCTCAAGAATGACCTGAGCATGCATCCTATAGAAAAGCTCAGACCTTGGGGGTGGTTTGAGTACACCACGCTTTTGAGATGATAAAATGTGTGCATTTGCATATGCATGCCTGATTATGTCTCATTTTATCTGAAATTTCATTAAAATTCTGTTTCCTTTTGGTCTTTTGACCAAAATATTGGCCATTTTCTATTTTCCATATCATTTCATCCGTTCCTAATTTTGGATTCCGGCAATATATTTGATGCTTCATTTTCAGTGCCCTTGTTCTTCATTTCAACTTTCTTAGACTTTAATCTGCATCATGTACTGTACATAAACGCTTTCTACAGCTGAATGGTTCCTTTCTCCTAATGCATATAAAACATGGTTGTAGCTAGGGATTAAACTACAGTGGAACAGTATAGCTCATAGTAAATCTTAAATTTTTATTGTAGATGAGCAGTAGAAACTGCTTAAACAGTGTCTGGGATGCCTCCTGTGATTATAGGCTCTCTTACTACAGCAGACACTTACAAATAGGCATATAAATTAATCCAGTTTGCAGGTGTTATTATGTAATAATACCCTTCCTTACATCACGTGAAGCACATGCTTTCTAGTATATTATAGGTATTAATGTAAGTAGTGTTAGAAGTATTGCAAAACGAGCAGTTACTCCCTCACAATATCATTTCTTTTCTAGTGCACAAAGCACAATACCAAAATTCATCGTCTGATGACCTGCAAGACAGGCTTCCTAGGCACAATTGTGATGTAAAAGCCATGCTGATGGCTGGGATTTCAAACATGTCATTCTTTTCTGGAGGAAAAGAAGGTGCCAGGGGTGACATTTTATATATGTATTATTTATTTATGCATCCAGAGCAGAGTTGTTTAGAAATCCAACAAAGGTTGATTCAGCTTGTATTGTTCATTTCTGTTTTTCAGATCAATGCTAATGACAGCCTGTGACCTTGGAGCTGTGACCAAACCGTGGGAGATTTCAAGACAGGCAAGTCATGATTAATAGCAGGGCTGGGAGGAGGCGGGACTGGTGGGACAATATTCCCAGGGCCCTGGCTTACAAAGGACCAAAACTGGAATCAATTTACAGTAGTATTAATGCTATAAAAAAATAGCAGGGGGGTTTCTGCAAGAAATGGTTTATTGCATATCTTTCCATGTACACAGCTGGTGAGCAGCATGTAGGTACCTGAAGAGATCTGGCTTTACAGCCTCTCCTCTTATTAACCTTTTAAATCCATATCAAAAAATGGATGGATTAAACCAAATAAGCGCTAGCCACGTGTATCTGTGCTTACTTGTTTAGTCCCAGAGTTTTCCTTGGCAGTGGCAGAATCTTCCCAAAATCGAAAATACCAGCAGATGATCTGCAAACTTCGATTAACGTAAAATCTTCGGTGTATATATAATAAATGTGCTCATTTGCTCAACGCTGATGGAAAAAAACTGCCAGTATAGTATAGAGCCTTTTTTAGCATCCTAAACAGACTGTACACAGAAAGAAACAAAAATTTAAGCTACTGTAGGCTCTTAAGAAATATTCATAGAAGTTGGGTGCAGCATTGGCAAATATCAACAGTGTGCCAAAGCAACCTGTCCCAGAACTCTTGTCCTTTACCACATGATTTTGCCTCTTCTAGGCATCTTTCCTTCCTCAGCATCCATCATCAATATTCCCTGTATACATGCTAAGAATTCTCTGTCCTTTACCGAGGTCCAGAACAAGACAGTGGAAGGCAGGCTGTGTAGGGTTCTGGGGGAACATGCCACACCAAGAAGCAATAGGCACTGCACCAGCGCAGCTGAGCATGACCGTGTAGTTAGATCAGCCTGACAGCAAAGTGGTAGTTAGAAGATGGGGTGTAAAAGAGAAGCTAGACCAGAGAGCTAGTGAGGCAGGAGCAGCCAGATTTCTTGGAGAAGTAACAGAAGCTGGAAGGCACCTACGTAAGTTACAGGCATCAGTAGAAAAGCATTTATGTGGTGAGGGCTTCAGCTCAGATTGTACGTTTGACAGCATGAGTGAGTCTTGCTTTTATAAGCAGACTAGGCCAATAGTCCTTCTAAGGCTGTTACTCTACTTGGCTAGAGTATGGTCACCCTGCATGGAAATCAGGGATGTTGCTTGTATCCTGCAGCGGGAAAATGAGTCACAAGATTTTTCTTGTGTGGCCACCTAGCCACAGCTGCAGCGTGTGCAATCCCTCCTCATTTTCCCTCTTTTAACCCAGTTAGCTTCTCCATTTTCTTTAACAGCCAAAATGTCAGGTAGGGGCTGTGTCTCATCTTGTCAGTCTTTGTGCAGAGGTGCTGAATTAGTGCTGAAGTCTCTGGCAAACTGTTTTTTTATCCCTATCACTTTTTGAGGTCAGCGGGTGAAAACTCCCCTGCAGCCTAATGTACGGGTTTACTTTATATTGAAAAGTCTAGCCTGGGATTGATTGAAACATTACCAGGTTGAGCAGAGAGGTTAATAGGTCCACAGAGGGAAAACAGGAAATAGTTAGACCTCAACTGTGCCAAAAGGGAGGAGGGGGGGGGGGGAAAAAAGTGAGGGAGAAAGAGATTAAAATATGTGAATCAAAGGGAATAAAAGCTACATGTAAGAAAATAAAATTCAGGAAGAGAAGATAGAAAAAAGAACGGGGAAAGGGATACAGTGAGAACAGGATCAGAATAGCAGTGAGAGACAGGGATGAGACTGTCTTGCTTATTTTTATAGAATGCACCTCACAAAGCCTTAATTGCTGCTAAGTTGTTAAATTATTCCTCTATCTGGAGTATTGATCCAGAGTTTTATTAGTGCGCTGGGATTACATACATTATAAAGTTCCAAACCATGTGATAGCCTGGCTCAAGATTTAAGAGTACTTTATATCATCACTTCACCTATTTCCAATTTATTTTGGTAGTCCTTATTTCAGCTGATAACAAGGGTTTGTGAATGTTAGCTATCATACAGTTACTAGAGCAAGAAATGTTGAGATTTTATGAGGTGCAGGATCTCTCCTTAGTTCAACCTCTTGTGCCTTGGTGTCACGAAATCATTTCCTATCTTAAAAACAGTTGAAAACAATCAGCAGGCATGACAGGAGCTTTAGGAACTGAACGCCACCTTCAGTCAATGGGTTTCCTCTTTTTGCATCTCGAATGCCACACCTGCCTAACCTTCCAGAACCACACGAGAAGAGTACAGTAGATAAAGGCTATTATATCAGGATTGCTCACTGTTTGCATTGCTTTTGCTGTTCCCATAACTAATACTGGTTTTAAATCTCGTGTGTTCCGAGAAGAACAAACCGTGGCTGTGAATAGAACATCTTCATTCACAGAAGTCAGAAAGATGTGTTCCAACTTCCAACCCACCAGTTCTTGATTTTGATTCAATATGATAATCACAGTCTTAGCTCATGCTTAGATATTCAGATCCTATAGTGATGACAGTCATGGGTAAGAAGTAAAGCCTAGTGGGGCAAAACCCCTTTATTTCACACTGAATGAGGACAACAGCAGTTAATTAAGTTTCTTTGATAAGTTATTTGTATAGGGTAACAGCCTGTAAATACCCAGAGAGCTCTTGCATATTTTACGAAGCGTTTTTACACTCATAATTGTGAATGCCAACAAGATGCTACGATTTTCTGTTCTGTTCTCAATACCTAAGTTGCTACCTTGACATTGCAGAGTAATTTCCCCAGTCAATTCCCTATCAAAAAGGAATAAGCATGCCTGTCGGTGGGTATGGCCATTTATACCCCTGGTATGCCCAGTCCTGAAGACAATATGAACGTGCCTGGCATCAGTCATTTAAGTGGCGCTATTCACTTCTTTACAGTTAAGCACGAGCTGAAGTCACGGTCTGATCCAGAACTCATTACCCTAAAAATTACGTAGCAAGACCTCTAATCTTTATCATGATTTATGTTTTAGGCAGCTGAGCTGGTAACGAGCGAGTTCTTTGAACAAGGAGACAGAGAAAGATCTGAACTCAAACTCACCCCTTCGGTAAGTTTTTATTACTTCTGAAATAGTTACTAACTTGACCAGGGTAAGATAATATCATTGAGTTCATTCAGAAAAACTCACTGTATTTTGTATGTAAAGCAAAATCTTGGTGTAACCAAAAGATTTGTCCAACAAAGACATGCATTTAGAGCCACGTATAAAAGCTCTATAGTCAACTCAGTCACTTTTGCATTGAGCCCTTTCCCATTTCTGTACAAATTCCCAAGTTTATTCTGTCAGTTAATTTTCTAAGCAACAGGTATTGTTTTTAATACACAGTGTTCAAATAAAAAAATCACCAGCTACTTACAGAAATCAAAACTGTCAGATTTACTTTAAGCTGCAGCTGTCTGTCTGTGTCATTTGATGTATCAAATGCTGAAAAGCATTTCTGTAGGTATACAACTCCATATAATACGGTAACTGAGTGGAATATAGGCAGAAGGGTATAAGGTGTTAAACAAGAACTAGGAAAAAAAGTTTTATGAAGATTTTCAGTGAACGATTTGAAGAAAAAGCCTTATCCAGGTTAAATACCTCAAAATGTTGACAAGCCATTATCTGGAGGCAACAGGAGAAGGGTAAGAGAAAGTAAAGAATTTAACTTAGAAGCCACGTTCACAAGTATGTTCACGCTTCCAAAAATAAAAAGACGATTGCAGTGGCTCAGACTTGTTCTCACTATGACATGCCACGGAGATAAGGTATTGCTGCTAGTTAGATAAGAGAAACAGCATAGTAACACAATAATCTCTTATAAGTCAAGGATATTTTTTTTTATTTGCATTGTGCTCATAATGATCTGAAAATGATGGGATTTTGCAAAGTTATTTCAGTAGGAAATACAGAATTTTACAAAACCAAACACAAGATTCTCATTTAAGATCATAGTCCTTGAATCTTGCCTCTTGATGTCATTTAGATAGCCTGTGTGATACCTGTGTATGTCAGAAAGAGCAGGCTACAACTAGAAGTCAACCAGACATTTAATGTAATCTAACAGGTATAGTCTGGAGTTTCTAACAGGTACAAAAGGAAAGTAAGTTTTCTCAGGAGATGTCAGCCTTGAGGAGATGGGCCCAGAATAAGAACAGACGTTCCACAGAAAGATTTTAAACTTGGCATACCCAGCAAGTTAAAAAAAAAAAAAAAGGCAAATGATAAATGGTGTAGCTGGGCCACTAGAAGGAGGATAAAAATCCTGTAAATGGAAAGCTGATGGACCCAACTAATCTCTGGCAGAGTATGGAGGAAACACTCACGTTCAAACTCTGCAGAACTCAGTTTCTTCCATCTCCTTTCAGCCAATAATTGAGCCTCTTAAACATCAGCTTTGACCTCTATAATTTCCTGTCTGAGGAAGTGCAGTGAGGAATTAATTAGGCTGTTTCCAGAGGAACAAACATGGATAACTGCCCCAAACACGGATCTGTTGTTTCCCCACCCTTTGGATTCACAGACATGGCTGGTTCTGCAGGAAGGGTCTGTAACTGGGAGGGAGGGAGCCAGCCCAGATCTATCACCGGTCATTTTGCCGAGCTGGTGGGAAATTTCTACTCAAACGTATCTGTGTTTCTACAGGAAGTTTCTTATCAGCTCAGCTTCAACAGTGGAGCACCTATTTCACATCACAGAATTATAAAATTCAAATACATTCAGCCTACAAATTTCAAAAGAGAATTGAATATAAACGGTTCATTTTTCATGCCAGACAAAGCAGTAGGAAGGCTGCTGCAAAGAGTGTGGTTCACAACATGTTCTGTCTGTGAGAATTGGATCATAGCTCCAAAGTGCTGGGTGATGTGTCTGTAAAATACTCCAGTGTAATAAAGCATGACAGTTTTGTTCCCTTCTCAATTCAGGCCATTTTTGATCGGAACAGGAAAGATGAACTACCCAGGTTGCAGCTCGAGTGGATTGATAGCATCTGCATGCCATTGTATAAGGTAATTTTTACTTACTGCTCCTGTAGAGTCGAGGGAAGATTGTTCTTGCCTCACTAGGGAGAGAGAGTCAGCTTACAGTGCAGCCTCAAAGGCTGTTTGAACTCTTACCTTTCTCTGACCTACAGAAGTCTGAATTCTATGCAGAAATCTTCAGATTCCCTGAAGATGGTAATAGCTGTAAACATAACTCCTCTCTAAGTTATGAAAGCTGTTTATTATGTTTGGGACAAACTGATTCTCATCACGGCAAGGTGTGGAGTGCTTGGCAGAGGTGCCAGAGGGACAGCCTCCTTAGGTGCTGCTGTCAAAGTGGTCCAAACGTGTGTGACCCAAAGGGAACCTCAGGGCTGAGCCTTTGCACTCCATTGTGGCTCCTTTCCAAACTGCTAAGGGGCACTCGAGGCCAAGCCTTTAAGGTCAGTGACAAATGATTTGTGGTTTAACCTGTGTGCTCTTTAACTTGGAGCTTACTCTTTAATCATGCTTCTGCACAGACTGCTTGGGTGCATAAGCTCTCCAGTACTACTTTATTAAGGCTCGAGATGACCAGAATAACGCTTCTCTCTTCTTTTGGATTAAGCCAGCTTCAGAATTTGACTTGTGTAACATAAATTTCACCTTTTTACCTTTTTCTCTCTTATCTGTATAGAAAGCAGAGCTACACAAGCAGGATGATAAATGGAAAATAGCACTATAGAAACTTAACCATCAATAACTGTGTCAGCCTCCTACTCAAACCACAGACCACCTTATGCCACTAAATGCTGCCAGTTTGGCCATTGATAGCAGAGAAAACATGGGGTGTTATCACTAGACATGTGGGGACCTGCAGCAAGTTCCCCTGTTACCACTGCACCCCAAACTGCCTCACATCTCCAAGCAGCGAATGGGTCAGTGATGATACAAAGCCAAGACCTGGGAAGGAGGTACCAGCTCTCACGTTAACGTTAAACTGATGAACTTGTGCCTGAATGTAGCTTCCCCACAGGCAAACAAAAAGGGATTGGCAGTTCCTTTTCATTTTATAGTCCAGATATGTCACCAGGAGGTAAGAAGGATGGCATGCTTCCCCCATCCCCTATGCCCCGTGGTATCTGAGGCTGCCCCTGTGGCCGTAATGAAGTGACTGCCCAGCCGCAAAGGCAGCTCTTCCCGTGTGACATGGGCAACATGCACTCGTGCAAACGGTGAGGTGGGCTACTGCTTTGCCTGTAGATCCTGCCCCTTTCTTAGGTCAGTCTTTGTCATGATGACATAAACTAAAACTACAGCTTCCAAACAATTAAGGCAAAGCAAGCGCAGATCATTCTGAACAATATGGGGGGGATGGACAACAACTGACTTTAGATGAAAACTCTTTAAAAATAATGTTCCTGTCAGTATAATATTTCATATTACACTAGAATACATATTATACCAGAATTCGTGATTTCTTATAGCATCTGTAATCCAAAAATCTACAATAAAGCAGGAAGAGCTGATAATCAGCCCATCCTCTGCATGAGAGGACTACATCTGAGCACTAAAGCTCTGGTTAGTTAGCTCCTTCTTAGCAGGAGATCTCTGGGGAATATATTCACATCTGATTTCCCTGCTCTCTGCTGTCTTTGCATCATGCTGTGCAGCTATTAGCCTGCTGCTCAACAACTTAAAAAAGAGACACCATCAAACCTGGAAGTCATTGCAGCACCAGCCTTAGGGGTAAACAGAAATCTTGATGTCATAGTATCACACTGCGGGAGATTCTCTCTTCAGTGTGAAGCCAAGTTATTATTTTCATATCCAGCTTAATCAAACCTCAAGACACGTATCACATCAGCAGTGTATTCGGGCATTGTAAATCCTCCATTTAGGGCTGGCTGAACACTACTACGATGGCCAAGTCCTAGATTTTTTTTTTCCAAATACATTCTTTAAAATCCTATCCATTGTAATACGTTGTAGGGACTGCATATGGGGATAGAATGGGTTACATCATTACAAGTGCAACATAAAGAGGCAGAGTGGCAGCTGACAAATTAGTAAAATCTTAGTGGTACCTATATAGCTCACTAGCATAGTGCTTACGAATCTGTATGTTTGAAATAAACATTTGACACTCATTTTGTTACGAAAATTACGACATTAAACCATAAAGAACAAATCAAGACTTTTTTTCCATGCTAGTCATTGAATGTCCTGAATCTGTGTGGGCAGATCCCAGCATCCAGAGTCCTGAAGGGAACTCTCTGGGGAAGGCGTGCATCCATACCAACCCAGTTGCTATAGCAGGAGCTAATGCTGTGCTCTGTTTTGTTTGACACCCAAAGAGTAGAGACAGTGCCAGCAACCAGTGAATGCTGGCAACTGCCACTGAAGTCAAGACAGAAGATCAGCAGAGCCCCCCAAATTTTCTTTGCTCAAAGTAGTTCTCAAGAGTAAGCTGTTCTTGGCTCCTGCAGAAGGCTGGACTGTGCAATACAGAGGGAACTTCACAGCCTGAACTTCCAGGAGGGGTCTGACACCACCCCGGTGCCACTGACAGTACTATAACAAACGGTACCTTCTCCACAGTTGAAGCTTATGAGCTAGGCTACACACCAGATTGCCCACAAGGAACGTTTTGTACTTAAAACAGTATATATATTTTGCAGACCGTTTTAGAGAGTTATGGCCTTCCTAGCCTTTCTTTTTTTTCCTCCATTCTGAAACATTCTCTGGGACTTGATCAGTCCTCAGAGGAGATTTGGTTCTACCTCCTCCCTATGCACCTGCTCTGCTCTCTGCATATCCTTAGGGTAGGTCAGGACCATACACTTTGAGGTGCAGTTCTTCTCCCAAGCCAAGGATGAAGTGTGTTACTGGGGGATGTGTACCACATCCCTCTGCTTACCTGGCTAGAACCGTTTTCTGAGTTTGGCCCGTTTTTGTGAGAAGGTTTGCAAGTGACTAGCAAATCCTCAAGATCTGAGCACCTTCCATTAGTAATCCTGTTTGACTGCCCCTTGGAATGTCCATCTGACCCGGAAGAAAGAAGGTGAAAGATACACAAAACATGCTGCATCATATGCTAATTTGGAGCTTGAAGCTAAATATGGATATATAATGATGGCTGAGGATATGGAAAAAAATAATAAGGGATTATATACATCTAGATTTCCCATATCCAGGTGTTTAAATCCAAAACCTTTTTGCTTTTGCTCTGTAAGCCTGACTCTGCTCTTAGCACAAGGTAAGTCATGGCTCTGCTCCCTTGCTCTCTCCCACATCTGCTGCTCAGTGTGGGAATCAAGCCACCTCCAATTTCAAAATACTTTAATAATCAAATCTGTTTCCTTCACACGGTGGAGCAAAGGTTTGTGAAGATAAAAGGTTCCCAATTCTTTGTTCATTGCTTTTTATTACACTTGGGACATGATAATTTTATTGAATTTACTTTTTTGTTGCAGTAGTGATCACTGATCAGAGTATTTTTATATGACGGCAGAGTTTTTTGCCTTGGGTAGCAAAAGAGCCATCCATTTACTCTGAAGCTCTGATTTTAGGGGCTTTAGTTACGCTTTACTGCATCACATTTGCTCTCCATTCAGAAATGCCAGCAAAAAAAAAAAAAAAGTTCATCAGTAGAAATGAGAAAAAAAAATCTTAATAAAATAATAATTTATAAGGAAAAATACATTTTTTGGAAGTGTAAAGCATTTCAAATCTGCTAATGTAGGTTCAGTATGAAGTAATCATCCAGTTGGGTTTTTTTTTTGGTAGAATATTCTCTAAAGGGGAAGCACGTGCATCTAAAGCAGAAAATCTAAGACACCCCACTGAAAATAAAGCCCGCTGGCTACGCTGACAGCTGTGCTCACCACACAGGGAAAGCATTCTGCACCTATCTGGACATACATGTTCATGTAACGGGAAACAGAATTTTGATCATTAAGACAAATTACCTCTCAGACCCTCCAGTAAAGAGATGCTGAGGGTTTCAACACTAACAGGTTTCTCTCCTGGAGTCTGTGGTTTGTGTGTACCTAAAACAGGATCGCTCACAGATTTTTCCCAACTCAGATTAGATTTCTCTGTGGGGAGCAGACCGAATGGGAGAGTGAAGGTCTTATTCTTTGTAATCATTTTCTCACAAACAACATCAAAGCTCCAGCGATTCACATCAAACAAAAGATGCTAACAGAAGCCCAGCTCTGTTCACAGCTTTGTTAGGCAGACACAGTAGCACTGTGAATAGGGGAGCCAAAGGCCATGCACTCTGCTTCTGGGCAGATAAATACATAGTCAGGTAGTCAGTGGCAATGACAGCAGCTATTTAAATTTAAGGGAGATGTCTTTGTGGAAGATAAAGAAGCTCACGGCTTTTACAACTTATGCGTGCCTGAGATTGCCCTGCTCACCTCTACCTTGGTGCTCCATTGAACTGCTCCAGTTTAGTGCTATTTTTAGTTCTATTCAAGATGTTCTTGGGTATTGAGAGCTTTAAACATAATTGCAAATTCACTTCTGTAGATGTTTTGCTCCATCCAAGATTCTAGGAGCAATCTGGGAGGAGTAGAAATAGTTAAGTTTAGCTTAGCAAGTACTTTAAATGTTTCCAGAATGTGGAGAGACAGAGTCCTTCTTTATCACATTGTTTGATGTGCTTAGAAAGAAGCCTTATAACTCTGTCTACAACTCCAAGAGAACTGGTATGCCTGTCTTCCTACAGGAGATAATACCTGGCCTTCTAATTAAATCTACCTGTAGAGCACGATGATGTAGCTGCAAAAGCATCTATTCTGCTTGTAAGCATACCTTAACGCACAGCATATCATAAATGGTAGAGCCTCTACAAAGCATAGAAAAACCACACAGAAATCTCCAACAGTCATGGCCACCTCTGTGCTTCAACTTCTCTGGTTCAAGAGTGGACTCTGACACCCGAAGTGGATGTGCGCACACACTAATTTTTTTCTGAAGTGTATACACTAGTTACAGTTATAAGGCAGGAGGTCAACCTTTTTATATTCCTTTGCAGA